ACAAATTTGAGTAAAATTTTGAGTGTCAAAATTTGGTTTAACCAAACATGCATGTTTGCCAAATAAACCCCATAAATTTGAGTGGAATTTTGAGTGTCAAAATTTGGTCAACTCAAACTTTCATGCTTGCCACATAATTCCACAAATTTGAGCGGAATTTTGAGGGTCAAAATTTGGTAATCTCAAATTTGCATGAACATGCAAATATGACTCTATAAATAGAGTGATCAAGGTACATGAAAATTCGTCTTGAAAAACTTTGAGAAAATCTCTCAACACTCTCTTTACATGTACTAAATTCCTATCAAGTTTAGTTACTCACCGAATTCCACAATCCCGCTCTAAGGTTGGAGAATAGTAGGGAAGAAACTAGTGTTGGTTCGAAACCGGTTCGTGAGCAAAAAGAAATTTGAACTACAAAAGGTTAGTATTCAAACTCATTGAGTTTTAATGCTTTTGAACATGCTAGCTAATTTACTATAATTGATGTACTTAGAGTGCCTAAGATCCAAATTGCTTCCATACGTGTTATAGTAACACCTCCATGTGCAAAAATCTTGGCATTCGTCTCTATCGGTGTTAAAACTTGCTTGTACTCAAACATGTTGAACTTCTGAAGCATATCTCTTGTATACTTTTTTTGGCATAGAAACAATCCTTCATCTGTGCGATCAACTTCTAAGCCCAAGAAGTGTTTAAGCTCTCCTAGCTCTTTCATCTTAAGCGTACTGATAGATTTTCTCTTGTTTGATAAATTTCACTTTCGTCGTCCCCGGTGATAATCAAATCGTCCACATAGACCAACACAATTGCCAATTTTCCTTCTCTTTCTTTGATGAACACGCTTGAAGCTGCATGCGCAACTGAATAACCACTTTGGGTAAGAAATTCAGCAATCTTACCATACCAAGCTCTTGGTGCTTGCTTCAATCCGTAAAGAGCTTTTTTTAAGCTTGCATACGTGATTAGGATTAGCTGCATTCTCAAATCCCATTGGTTGGTTCATATAAATCTCCCTATCTAATGCTCCGTGCAAGATGCATTATTCACATCCGTTTGCCACAGTTTCCTATCTTTACTTGTCGCGAGTGCTAGCAGAAACTCATACGGTAGTGATCTTTACCACTAGACTGAATGTTTCATCATAGTCTAGTCCATATTTTTTAGAAAACCCTCGAGCTACGATTCGTGCCTTGTATCTCTCGATTGATCCATCCGGTCGACGCTTTATTTTGTAGATCCACTTGCAAGAGATGAGTTTTACATCTCCTAGTTTTGGCACTAGTTCCCAAGTTTGATTCTTCTCCAAGGTTATAATGTCTTCCTCCATCGCTTTATGCCAAACCGAGTTTTGTGATGTTTCTTCATATGTCTCTGGTTCATTGATTTCGTCTTCTACAATAGTTACATTGGCATACTTAAGATTTGGCTTTTGGATTCTTTTTTATCGCCTAAGTTGTTGATGTGTCGTTTCCTTTTCATAAAATTTGTTTGATTGAGTCACTTCTTGGTCATCAACATCAATGTCGCTTAGGCCATTATGCGCATCAATATTTGGTTGAGTGTGCATAGTTTGCTCCCCCATCTTCTGTTGAAGAATTTCTTCGACGTTGTTTGAATCTGGTTAGACTTTCTTCTTCGAGGATCACCATGAAGATGCTTCATCGAAAACTACATCTCTTGATGTATAGTATTTTTCACTTGTTGGATCACATCACTTCCACCCTTTCCTTTGATTGTCATATCCAACAAATATACACTTGACTACTTTCTTATCAAACTTGCTACGTAGGTGGTCAGACACAAATACTTGGAAGTAGCTGATTGTAGGTTTCATATGCCATAGTATCTCAAATGGTGAGACGAATCCTAGCCTTGGTTGGGGAAGCTTGTTGATCACATGGGCAGCAGTTTGCATAGCTTCAACCCAAAATTTTCGTAGATCATTCTTTGCGTGTAACATACTTCAACAAATTTCTGCAAGTTGCCGATTCTTTCTTTCTGCTTCACCATGTTGTTGTGGCATGTTGGCACATGTAAACTGACGTCGTATCCCACACTCGTGTAAATATTGATCAAACTCATCTGACGTGTATTCTCCGCCATTGTCTGAACGTAAGCAACAAATCTTCACTCCTACTTCTCCTTCGATCATCATCTTGAATTCTTGAAATTTTGAAAACGTGTCAGACTTTTCGTTCTTAAAGAAAATCCACCAATATCTTGAGTAGTCGTCAATGAACGTCACTATATACCGCATTCCACTGATCGATGCTTGTTTGACTGGACCGAACAAATCAAAGTGAATTAACTCTAATGGTTTCGTTGCTTTGAATTTTGGCTCTTTGTATGGTAATTGATGAGTTTTACCATATTCACATCCAGCGCAAACAACGTCCACTTTGACTTCAAGTTGAGTTAGAACTTTGAGCATGAATTTCTCCATAATCAGCTTCAACTTGTGGTAGCCAACATGTTCCAATCTTGCATGCCATAGATCTGTTGTCTCATTCGTACGGGTGTTGTCAACATAGGCAGACTCTGCAGATAGGACGTAAATGGACTCCACTCTTCGCCCTTCTATTGTCAGCTTTCCTATTATCTTAACATCTTTATAGACTTTCACATCTTCTGACCCAAACAAGACGTAGTTTCCTGATGTTGTTAGTTGTGTCACTGACAACAAGTTTTTCTTTGTACCTGGTACATGATAAACATTATGTAACACTGTATTAGATTTATTGCCAGGCATGATTGTCGTATTACCGATTTTAGCAATTGACAACTGTGTTATTTGTTGTGCTTTCCTTACGACTTCCTTTGTACTCTTTCTTGTCTTGCAATTTTCTCTGATCGCCAGTCATATGGTTTGAGCATCCTGCATCAACGATCCGCATTTTCATCTTCAATATGATCTCCCATCGTCCCCAACGATCATAAACAAATTTGTTTCGAGAATTTTCTGGAGATGTAATTTCATTCTCCAGAAAAAGTGGGAGAGATTGTGTGTCTTTGGCTCAACCCGAGGGTCCTATTTATAGGGACTCTTGGAGAATATTTGCCAAATGATATATTTGCATATTTAATATATTAAGATATAATACCTCATACAAATCATATTTAGATATTATAAGATATCCTAATATATACTTAATTAATTTGAATCTCATTCAAATTTCAAATATATTTTTATTTAATATATCAAAATACATTAATTGATTTAATATTTAATTGTATCTAATACAATAAATATATTTTTCTATTAATATATCTAATATATTAAATATTAATTTCACCATTCAAATGGTCAAATTAATATCTTTTTCTCCATTTATATTTAACATATCTAATATATTAAGTATTAATCTGAACCCTTCTAATTAAATATATTTTCTCTATTTATTTAATATATCTAATATATTAATACTAATTTGACATTTCAAATTACATTTATTTTCTCTTTTATATTTAATATATATGCTATATTAAATATCAATTTGAACACTTCAAACTTTCTTTCAAATAAATTGAACCTTTTAGCGCGTTACTATGAGCTAGCAAGAAGACCTTATGGACCTACATATTATAAGTTCCAATGATACAAAATTAATTAATTAATTAAACTCTTTAATTAATCAATTTCCATACACTAACTATAGATCACTCCACTGTAGATCTAGAGTTGCACTCTTATGCACTGTAGGACATGTAGTACCTTCCTCTTCCATCTCCATGTTGGAGGATGCCACATTGCTTTCAACAAATTTTGCCATATTATAACTCCTAATGATCATATCAATATGTTGACAGAGGTGGTTGCCAGCATTACGTAGATTTCTGTTTCTGTTACAACAATTGGTATCGTATCATTTTGTTATGGAATTTTGGTACAACAAACACAACCTTTGAATTCAGAATTTATGGCTGTGAGAGGTATTTGAGATGGAACTTTAAGGGCTAAGGCTTTCCTCCGAAATTATTGAAGATATACCGTTTAAAATTCATGAAAACATAACAAATGCTTGGAGATCAATTTGCTCTTGCATGGGTTGTGCGTTCAAATCGTTCTTTTGATGCATGGAAATTTAGCAAGCAGAAAACTTCACAGAAGAAATTAATGGCATTTAGGTACTTTTCATACCGAGCACCTTGTATAATTGGACATCTCGTGAGGGTGCAGGTCAATTCCACAACATGCCCTTGAATGCTAAGGTTGTTCATTTCAAAAGATCTAGAAAACGGTTTATGCTAGAGTCTTGGAACTTCTTTAGATCCTCTTCCAGCATCTCAATCTCATATATTTTGTACCGCATTTTAAGTAGCATCTGAAAGAAGTATGGTTTATAAACAAAGATTATAGATTTAAAGTTGAATTGATCATTGAGGAGCAGATTCAAGCTAGTACCAAGAATAATTAGTAACTCCAACCTAGACCAAATAAGTAATTGGTTCTACTATTGACTCAGTTTGACGAATTGTAGTATGTATGATGACGCCTGCCATTTAGTAACTTATGTCATGTTATGTGACGTTATGCTCTGATAAGCTATTCTATTTTGTGATTATGTAGTGTTGTATAAGGGTTATATGTTATCGAAAATCTATGATGTATAAACCTCCATAGACCATGCCATGAAAGTTATGTTACATACTATTGAACGTACAAGAATTATGAAAGCATAATTCACCGATTTATTATGTTATAGATAAATGGAGGTTTGTCTTATATCATAGATTATGCTACGTGGAACTCATGCATATTAGTGTGTCACGTGCATCGGGATACTTACATTACGACTTATGATTTTTGATATTTATGTGCGTTATGATGTTATGGAGACCCTTTCACTCTATGGTATTCAACAAGAACTCGTTAGCGAGTGCTAGCTCGACGAGCCGAATCCAGGGAGTGTGTGTCATGACCGGATTTTTTAGGCTTCGAAAAACCGAATCGTGACTAAAAAGACAAAATCGAAAACAAACAAAAAGAAAAATAAAAGAAAAGTAAAGTAAAGTAAAAACATAAAAATACCATTAAATTAAAACAAGAGAGAGAAGTTTTGTTTTGAAATTATTACAAAAGAAATTGCAAATTTAAAATGAAGAAAAATACAATTGAATTAAAACAACAGAGAGAAGTTTTGTTTTGAAATTATTACAAAAGGAATTGCAAATATAAAATGAAGAAAAATACAATTATGAAGAAAAATACAAAAGACAGTGAAAGACCGAAAAGGGACTGATGCTCCAGAACGACCCCCTCTGTGACCGCATAGCTCCCGAGCGCTCCTCCACCTCGACCGGTACCTGAAAAAGAAAGGTAAAAAGGAATGAGTATAAAAATTATACTCAGTAAGCCACCTACTTGTAGGCTCTCTTCGCATCCTAATTTAACAGGTTCCCACGGTTTCCTAATTCGGTTCTAGGACATCTGGTTCTAATCTTAGTCCCTTGAGGCTTGCCCCTTGGGTTTCACCGGTTCATCGTCCTTTCATTGAATGCCTAGAGGTTCCTTACGCCAAGCTTATATGATCGGTATCTCTCTATGAGGCGCTACCTCTACATGGCTATCTGGGACTACATGGTACCTAGCCTAGGTATGTGCTGAATACCCCTACGCCCATATAGTCACCCTAGGGGGGGCGCGACCCAACCCGTTCCCATGCTGCTAATGGGCTGTACAACGTGGGAACACATTTCCCATGCGAAATGGCTAAGAGCAGTAAGGACTGATCAGAGACCCTTGGTCCTCCCACGAAGCTACAGATATCGTTCTCACGCTAGCAATCTATGAACACTCCGAGATATCTTGTTGCCGTGGTAAACCGCTAAGTTCCTAGGGGAAAATGAAGTCTGGCTGGAGCTACATATCGCTACTAACAGTAATCCCCTAAGCCTATCATAGAAATGGGCCCTACCAATTAACAGAGTGTACATGCAACCTTCTTCTAACATCATAGTATGTAATTCATGCAAACTAGGCATACCGGCTCAACGGGGCGATGACCTCCATCAAGCACCCAGAGCACGAAGTTCACGCTCAATGGGGCAAATTCGTCCATCAAGCACCCGGAACACGGTATACACAATTCTAACATAAATTAAATGCATGCATACATACGGCGGAAGCTTAAAGCATACAGCAACACTCATGTAATTCACCCAATACAATTATAACAATTAATCTGACTAATAATTTACATGGAGAGCTAACCTGAAGCAAAACTACTAACATGCATGCAATCCAAGCGAATCCTACAAGTATTTCTTCCTAAATACCGGGTGGTGACTTACCTGGTTGACGCGTGCCCTTTTTGCTAGCGTTTCTTTGCCCGTGAGGTGTCCAAAAATACTGATTTCTTTAAATTAGGTCCCTATTCACGTAAGAACAATATTAGAACTGGTACCGAGACAAAAATCGAGCAAACAGAAAACAACTGGGCGAAATTGGTCGTTCCACGCGCGCTTGGAGTGCATGGTCACGCACGCGGGAAGGCGCCAGTCGCAGGCTGCACGCGTGCCTGCCACACGTGCCCGCTTCCGCGTAGTCGCGGGTCGGCCGGTCCGGTCGGCTCGCGTTTGCGGTTGGCCCGACTTGCAGGCGACATGTGTCGACGCCTTGCTGGTGCTGCGTTGGTCCATCCGATGGTCAACGCGTGTCCGGCACCTGTCGCCGCCCTCCGCCGCTCGCCGTCCGCCCCATTTTTTTTCTTCTTTCTTCTCTGTCCTCTAAAAACTGAAACACAAACCTCTTTTTCGATTTTCATATCTTTCGATCCGTAGATCGGATCGATATGATTCCTTTGGCAATGTTCTAGATCGTGTTACGGGCTACGTCCTAGTATTCTTTTTTATAATTTTTTGCTTGACTACCGAACGAGTTAAGAACTTCGGAAGTTCGCTAACCGTTCTCGGACAACTCTCGGATCTCTACCTTTGGGTTGAGGTCTCGACCAAACTTCTTCACAGACCGTGCGTGAGTTATTCCTAGGTGAAGATTTCAGCATTTTAGGATCGATTCACGTAGGAAAGACTCAGATTTGAGAAATGTCGTTCAGAAACCTTACCTCGCGAAATATTCTTGGGTCCTGAAGGAGCGTCAGCCTTGCTAGCCTCTCAATCCTTGTACGAGTCTCGTCTAAGGATGGATTCCGACGGTGGTTCATTAATCTTCCCAGCTGACTTCTCTCCAGTTTCTCTCTATCTCCTTCTTTCTTTTGCAGGGGATCTGACGGGGTTCTCCTTGGACCCCTATTAGGGCTGAAGGGGCAAAATGACATTTTTTTTTCTTGTGTTACAAATTCTCCCCTCCTTAGGAACTTTCGTCCCTGAAAGTAGCTATCTCTTGGAAGAGTTCGGGATAAGCTTTCCTCACATCTTCTTCTCGTTCCCAGGTTGCCTCTTCCTCACGATGGTTATCCCATGAGACCTTTACCAAGGGAATATCTTTGTTACGCAACCGCCTAGTGTCTCGAGCCAAAATTCTGCTAGGCTTCTCCTCGTAAGACAGATCTTCTCGAAGAGGAAGCATCTCATGCTCGATTACATGAGTAGGGTCTGGAGTATACTTCCGCAGCATGGATACGTGGAACACATTGTGCACAGCGGCAAGGTTCGGTGGTAGGGCAATTCTGTAAGCCACAGCCCCAACTCTTTCTAGAATCTCGAAGGGGCCTATGAACCTTGGGCTCAATTTTCCTTTCTTTCCGAACCTCAACACCCCCCTCATAGGGGCTACCTTAAGGAACACGTGGTCACCCACCTCAAATTCGAGGTCCCTTCTACGCACATCTGCATAGCTTTTCTGTCGACTCTGTGCGGTGAGTATCCTTTTCTTAATTTTCTGCATCGCTGCGTTGGTGACCTTAACCAACTCTGGTCCCAATAGTTGCTGCGAGCCTATCTCTTCCCAAAACACCGGTGTTTGACACCTATGCCCATACAGTGCCTCAAAGGGGGTCATCTGAATGGCCGCTTGATAACTATTGTTGTAGGCAAACTCCATTAAAGGTAGATGTTCGTCCCAACACCCAGAGAAATCTAAGGAGCAGGCTCGCAACATGTCCTCTAAAACCTGGTTCAGCCTTTCGGTTTGTCCGTCCGTTTGAGGATGAAACGCTGTACTGAACCTCAACTAAGTTCCTAGTGCCCTCTAAAGACTCCTCCAGAACTGAGAGGTGAACCTGGTGTCCCGGTCTAATACTATGGACACTGGTACCCAGTGCAGGCGTACTATTTCCTTGACATATAATTGAGCCCACCGATCCCCTCGATATGTGGACTTTCCTGGAATGAAGCGAGCCGTCTTAGTCAGTCTGTCTATAATTACCCAGATGACGTTGAAACCCTGCTTTGTCTTTGGCAAACTCGAGATAAAATCCATACAGACTGTTTCCCATTTCCACTGAGGAACGTTTAGGGGCTGTAGCAATCCTGCTAGGCGCTACCTCGAGGCCTTCACCTGCTGGTAGGTCAAGCAACGGCTTACAAAATGTGCTATGTCTCTCTTCATTCCGAACCACCAATAATATCTTTTCAGATCCTGATACATCTTCGTACTTCCAGGGTGGAACACATAAGATGTATCATGGGCTTCAGTCATAATATCTTTTAAGATTCCCTCGTCTCGGGGAACGCACAGGCGGTTTTGACATAGCAAACCCCCGTTTGAGGAGATAGAATACCTTACTGGCCTCTTTGTCTCAGTCTGACTGCACACTTTACTAAGGTGTTCGTCAGACCTCTGAGCGTCGATAATTTTCTTTCGTAGGGTGGGCTGTATGGTTAACTGTGCTATCTGAACATTACCACCTTTAACCACCACGTCTATCCCAGCCCTCTTCATCACATCTTGTAGTCTTTTCTGTGTGGTGATCATCGCAGAAGTATGCACGGCCTTCCTGCTCAATGCATCAGCTACCACGTTGGCTTTGCCTGGATGGTACAAGATCTCTATGTCATAATCCTTTACCAGTTCCAACCATCGCCTTTGTCTCATATTGAGCTCCTTCTGCGTGAATAAGTACTTGAGGCTCTTATGATCGGTGAAGACTTGTACTTTTTTCCCATACAGGTAATACCGCCACGTTTTTAGAGCAAATACTACCGCTGCTAACTCGAGGTCATGCGTTGGGTAGTTTCGTTCATATTCCTTCAGTTGTCGAGAAGCATACGCTATCACCTTACCATTCTGCATGAGCACACATCCCAAACCTTTCTCTGATGCATCACTGTACACCGCGAGATTACCTGACCCGTCTGGAACTATAAGGACTGGTGCGGTTACCAACCTCTTCTTGAGTTCTTGAAAACTTTGTTCACAAGCTAGAGTCCAAGCAAAGGGCTTGCCCTT